GATCCTGGGCAACTTAATTATGGGATCCTGGGCAACTTAATTATGGGATCCTGGACGTTTAATCATGGGATCCTGGGCAACTTAATTAAGGGATCCTGGGCAACTTAATTATGGGATCCTGGACGTTTAATCATGGGATCCTGGGCAACTTAATTAAGGGATCCTGGGCAATTTAATTATGGGATCCTGGGCAATTAATTATGGGATCCTGGGCAATTAATTATGGGATCCTGGGCAACTTAATTAAGGGATCCTGGGCAACTTAATTATGGGATCCTAGGCAACTTAATGATGGGATCCTGGACACTAAATTATGGGATCCTGGGCAATTAATTATGGGATCCTGGGCAATTAATTATGGGATACTGGACAACTTAATTGTGGGATCCTGGGCAATTTAATTATGGGATCCTGGGCAACTTAATTGTGGGATCCTGGGCAATTTAATTATGGGATCCTGGGCAATTAATTATGGGATCCTAGGCAACTTAATTATGGGATCCTAGGCAACTTAATTATGGGATCCTGGACACTAAATTATGGGATCCTGGGCAATTAATTATGGGATCCTGGGCCATTTAATTATGGGATCCTGGGCAACTTAATTGTGGGATCCTGGGCAATTTAATTATGGGATCCTGGACACTTAATTATGGGATCCTGGACACTTAATTATGGGATCCTAGGCAATTTAATTATGGGATCCTGGGCCTGCTTAATCATGGGATCCTGGACACTTAATCATGGGATCCTGGGCACTTAATTATGGGATCCTGGGCACTTAATTATGGGATCCTGGGCAATTAATTATGGGATCCTGGAGAGGTTTGGGTTGGAAGGACCTTAAATCCAATCCAGCCCCACCCCTGCCATGGCAGGGACGCCTCTCGCTGTCCTGGGCAGCTCCAACCTGCTCCAGCCTGGCCTTGGGCACTTCCAGGGATCCAGGGGCAGCCAGAGCTGCTCTGAGAATTCCATCCCAGCTTCCCAGCCAGGAATTCCTTCCCAAAATCCCAGCCCGATCTCCCTTTTCCCAGTGGGAGCCATTCCCTGGGTCCTGTCCCTCCATCCCTTATCCCCTCTCCTGTCCAGCTCTCCTGGAGCTCCTCCAGGTCCTGGAATGTGCTGGAAACTCTCCCTGGATCCTTCCCCTTCTCCAGGGGAACATTCCCAGCTCTCCCAGCCCGGCTCCAGAGGGTCTCCAGTTCCTCTGGGCTCTCCCCAGCAGCTCCACATCCTCCAGGTGCGGTCTCACCTGAGCGGGGCTGAGGGCTTCAGAATCCCCCCGGAGCTGGGGGTCAGCCCAGGCTCGATGGGAATGGGTGTCCATGGAATTTATTTCCATTTATTTTGCATTTCACGACCAGAGGAGCCCTCCTCCAGCAGCCCCAGCTCCGACAAGCTGCAGCCCCGAGGCAGGAGGAGAAATTTCCCCAAAAGAAGGAAGGAAAAAGCTTCACTCCGTCCAAAAATAGGGAAAAAAAGAATGAAGAAAGAGATCCCCCTATTTCCCGAGATGAACTCATGGATATTTCCAGGAAGAGGCTCCCAGCACTTGCACTGTGAACTCCTCTGGGGAGGGTTTGGCCTCAGCAGCAGCAGAATTATAAATTTCCCATTTTTAACCCCAAAACTCCCATCTTCAATTCCCTCCCAACCACGACCAACACATCGACAATGCTCCGAGAAATGAAAAAATGACATTTCCCCTCCCTGCACACGCAGGATCCTGGGTTTGTTTTTTTTTACCCAGAACGGGGGTTTTTGGTGATTTTTGGAGCCGTTTGCTCAGAACTTTCCTGGCTCTGGGGCGGGTGACACGCTCTGAACTTCTGTGTCCTTTAAGGGATCAAAGATCTCCCCTGGGCCCCCTGCAGTGAGCTGCTGAAGCAGAGAAATGAATTAATTATTAGCTAAACACTCCAAATCCTGGAGCCGTGCACGGAGTGAGGATGGGGAGAGTTTCTGATTTACTAAATTCCCCCCAAAGTGTAAATACAATAAAATCTGAGGTTGCTTTTTTAGAGTCTTCTCCAAATCTCTCTCCACGCATAAACAGCCCCCAATCCAGGCAGAACAGCTGAATCCTTTTTTCCTGGCTGGAAAAAAAGCCGTAAAAAGCGGGATTTTGGCGCACAGCTGCCCAGTTTGAACAGAACTGGAGGAGGAATAGTCTGATTTAGAGGTTTGGGATGCAAAGCAGGAGCGCAGAGCTCAACCGGCGCTGGTTCCATCCCGGACCGACAGCTCCACCTCCCGTCCAGGCTCTGGGAATTCCAGCCCAGCTTGGGGCATTCCCGGGGATCCAGGCTCTGGGAATTCCCGGGGATCCAGGCTCTGGGAATTCCCGGGGATCCAGGCTCTGGGAATTCCCGGGGATCCAGGCTCTGGGAATTCCCGGGGATCCAGGCTCTGGGAATTCCATCCCAGCTTGGGGCATTCCCGGGGATCCAGGCTCTGGGAATTCCCGGGGATCCAGGCTCTGGGAATTCCATCCCAGCTCCTCCCCACCCTCCCAGGGAGGAATTCCTTCCCAAAACCACGGCTCCTTTTCATCCCCTCCACGCAGGATTTGTCTCCTCTCTGACAAACCCGAGGCAGCTGCGAGAGGCTCAGTCCAAGAGCTGGGTGCGTTTTGGGCAGGGAATGCTGAAAATTGGGATATCAAGGGTTGGGAATGATCAGATCAAAGCCAGAGGGATGGGACCGAGCAGGGTTTGTCCTCAGGCGGCCTCCCCCGGAGATTCCCATTCCCTGCGTGGCTCCCAGTGCTAAAAACGATGGATTTGGTTAAAATCAGAGGATGCCTCAAGGCCAAACTTTATTGCAAGGCGGAGGGCTCCGTTTCCAAGCCCCACACCCCCCTCCCCGCGAGTCCCAGCGCCCTTCTGGGGGGAAAGGAGCGTTTTTTGGCAGAGCCGTGACACAGGAAGGCAGAGCCGAGCGGTGCCGCTTTCCACAGGTCCTTGCAGGGCCGGTTTTGCTCCCGCAGCTGCTGAGGCTCGCAGGATCCATCGGTTCCCGGCTGGAGCTTGCAGGATCCCGGCTGGAGCTCTCAGGATCCATCGGTTCCCGGCTGGGGCTCTCAGGATCCCGGCTGGAGCTCTCAGGATCCATCGGTTCCTGGCTGGGGCTCTCAGGATCCATCGGTTCCTGGCTGGGGCTCGCAGGATCCATCGGTTCCCGGCTGGAGCTCTCAGGATCCATCGGTTCCCGGCTGGAGCTCGCAGGATCCATCGGTTCCCGGCTGGAGCTTGCAGGATCCATCGGTTCCCGGCTGGAGCTTGCAGGATCCCGGCTGGGGCTCTCAGGATCCATCGGTTCCCGGCTGGGGCTCTCAGGATCCATCGTTTCCCAGCTGGAGCTCGCAGGATCCGCCCGCGGGCTCCCGGTGAGCCCCGGCCCGGTTGCCCAGCTCCGGCTGCCGGCCGAGAGCTCCTCTCCCACCTCCCCAAGCCACATCCAATCTCCCAGGAAATTCAGTTCTCTCCGAGCGGGCGGCGGGGCCGGCCCGGGGGTCTCGGTGCGCCCCCTCAGCGCTGCAGCCCGTGGCTGACGAGGCAGGAGCCCGACGCCAGCAGCAGGGCGAGCCCGAGCCCGGCTCTCCGCAGCCCGGGGGCTCCGCTGGGGGGTCCCCGCTTTCCCCCCAGCTCGGGCCAGCCCCCGGAGTGGAAGCCCCCCGAAGGGGGAGGCTGCCGAGCGGCCGGGACGCCGTGACCCAGGCGGGACGGCCGCGGGCGACCCAGCAGCCCCATCCCGTAGCCCGCGGCGGCTCCGGCCGCGATGGCTCCGGCCACCTTGGAGCCACGGCCCGGGGCTCCCCCGCCTCGGGAC